GGCACTTTTCTAGCTGGTCTCTGCATTCCCAGACTCACCGGATGGGAACAAACCCCAGGACGTGGCGGAGATGAACACAGTGCTGATGCCTGAGGCCCGCCCGCCAGGCACCACCTCCTCAAGGCCCGCAGCTACTTGCTGGCCCGTGCGGCCCGATTTTATCAGTTATGAATTTCTCCCAGGACAATAACGGTAAGTCGTTTCTTAAGAAAAAAGTTTTATTCTAATCAATCAAGTAAACCACAAAACAAACTAAAGAAAGTTATGCCTGTAGAGCAGGTCACAGGCTTGCCTCGTAAAGGGTCAGGCAGTGCATCGGTTAGGCTTTGAGGCCACTGCCACAGAGGGTCTACATGTGAGTGCAGGGTCAGCATTTGAGTACAGGGTCTATACTGGAAGTCCAGGGTTTACATGTGAGTACAAGGTCTAAACTGGGAGTGCAGAGCCCACAGCCATGAGGTGTTTGCTATCACTGCGATTATAATTTAATAGCAGAAGACAGAACATAAACAAATAAACAGATATGATCCTTTTGGGTGAAACAACCACTGAGAGAAGTAGGGTCTTGTAGCAGGAGGATGGGGTGGAGGAGTGGTTAGAGGACCTCTAAAAATTGCCGATCTTGAGAAGAGTCCTTCTGGAAGATGGGGAGGGTTGAGGTGGAAGCAATAGCTCCGCTCATCAGTTTCCTTCGCTCCCACCCCTCCAGGCTCCCCCTGCCCAGGGCTAGAAGCCTGGGAACCGCATTTCCAGAACCACTCGCTGCAGTGTTTCTCTGGCCCTGGGAAGTGGTGGCATAAGAGGCGGCAGATGGAGCCGCTGTTCCTCCTCTCAGGTTGCAGGTGGACGTGTGGGCTTCGGCAAATGCGAGATTTGCTGTTGCAGGTGCCACAGCTCAAGTTCCCCGCAGGTCACCTGCCCGAGCAGCTGTGCCCAGCAGCAGCGGCTCCCCGACTCCCTGATTCTCCGCTGCTGGGCCGTGGCTGTGAAGCTAAGATCAGCCACCGCTTCCAACCCTTCCTTGTCAGGCATCGGATCCTCTGAGTGAAATCTTTCTCTCCTTTAAAAACAACTGCTAGGACGGCTTCTCTTTTCCTAATCCGATTCCAACGATACACACGGTGAGTGCAAAATCCTAAACTGGGAACACATTGATTAGAGAGAGCGGGGAGAGGTGGTGCGAGAGCAGGGACGCTGCAGCCAGAGGTCATCTGCACCCACCCCAGGGAGGCCTCCTAAGGCGCCCTAAGAATGCTGGATTTTATTCTGGAAGCTCTGGAAAGGCGCAGGGGAGGGGGGTTAAGGTGGGAGAGGGAAGCAAACAGGAAACAGGAGAAACAGGCTGGAGCAGAGTGAAGAAACAGAACTAAAGACGTGTAAATAAAAATAACAACAATAATGCCCGGCCAGGCGTGGCTCAGCAGTTGAGCGTTGACCTAGGATCCAGACGATCGGGGTTGGATTCCTGGTCAGGGCACATGCCCGGGGTGCGGGCTCGATCCCCAGTCGGGGGCGTGCAGGAGGCAGCCGATCAATGACTCTCTCATCAGTGATGTTTCAATCTCTCTCCTTCTCCTTTCCTCTCTCTGAAGTCAATAAAGATATGTTTACAAAAAACACAACAACAAGGTTTAGAATAACAGGTTCTGGAAAAGAAAAAATAGCTAAGAGGCAATTTGGTAACTATTGTCAACCCCTGAAGGGCTCTTTGATTTCTTGCATCTGCCAGATTTTTTTTTTTTTTAACTATTCTGTTGGCAAAAGAAGACCAGGCTCAAACTAAGCATTTATGTTAATTACATGGGGGGAAGGGGGGACCCCTGGCTGCACAGAGAGGTTAAGTAACCTCTTTTCTTGAGAACCTATAAGGATAAAATAGACACAAAGGGTCTACACTGGGAGTGCAGGGTCTATACTGGGAGTTCAGGGAATTACACAGAACTAATGATTTCTGGTTGGATGAAATCTAATTTGAAGACAATGTTGAGTGTCTCTAGCAATTGGATCCACACAATAAAGGAGGCTTTGGTCTCACGTTTACATCTACTCTGTGAAACTTTGACCTTGAATCTAGTGTTGTAGGAAATCTAGTGATTTCCCTCTGGGTGCTCAGAAAGTCCAGACCCCTGGAAGGACATAATATACAATCTTCATGTTAAGGAAACAGAAAGCCTGGAAATACTATATCTTATCATTGTCATGACTACATTATAAATTATGTTAATGATAAGAAGTCACTAGTCATTGCATATTAAAAAAATACTGAATGACCATGTGATAGATAGGTCTGTGCCAGGCACCCACGTAATAGGACCCATAGGTAGGCCATGATAGAGGGAACAGGGCAGTGGCACTGATGGCTCAGCTGTCCCACTGATGCAGGCACTCAGCTGGCCAGGTAAAGGTTTCAGCCTTAAGCTAGTCACAATAACGTCACAGGAACAAGATATGAGACATGACCTCCAACGCCTCTCATCTGTCAGCTATGGGCCCAGATGGACATTGATTGGCCCATTGATGGGACATGGATGGGTCCCACCAGATGGTTGGTCTCTTACCATCCTGGGAGGTAAGGCTGGGAGGGCTAGGACCTGAGGAAGAGACAGAGAGTTTCTGCCCTGAAGGTGAAAGCCGGGAAAGCAAACCCCAAACCAGAACTCCAGAGCCCAGGGCCACATGCAGCAGGAGGCCCGGGCCTGGGAGAACAGGAAGCTGACGGAGCCACTGGGAGGGGCCAGAGCTGGGCCACAGGGACAGGCCACGCCCCTTCTGGCTTCTTGCACAACACGGACAGAACCTGCCGCCTACGGTCGCTGAGACCTGGCTCAGGATCCCAGCTCTAAGTCCCCACCTGGGGGACCTCGGGCAAAGAACGTGACCTAATGGAGCCTCAGTATCTTCATCTTTAACACTGAAATCCTGGAGGTGCTCATATCGAGGGAAAATTGGTACAGGGGAAAGAAACTTGGAAGTGAATCTATTTATTTGGAACTAAAGTTTTACAGCAAATGGTTTAGTAACAGTTTGATTATAATCCTATCTTTAAAAATGAAACTAAAAATTATGCCTACAGATTATTTCTGTTTGATAGTGAATAGAGTATAGGTTATGTTACTTACTAATTTTGGTCTTCCAGCAGAGTCTAGAAATCAGACTCTTGATTCTCATGGTCACGCAGAGTCCGAGCAGTTCAGGCCCCTATGAATAAGCCAATACCTGAACAGTTCTTTAATTCAACACCTTATAAAGCAAAAGGCTGTACAGTTGCAGAACCCACATTCTAAAATAGGCGACTGCCTCTTCACATGCAGTCAACTCAGTAATACCTAATTTATTTGTCTATTATAAACTACATAATCATAAGACTTGTACAATAACTCAGTGGGAGGGTAATTTTTAATTGTTAACTTTTATAAAATAAATACCTAATTGTTCTAGCAACTTCAATATGCAGAAGAATACGAATCATAAAATAGAAATGTCTCCCTTCTCTGTGCCCACCGTAATTAGTGTGCTGTGGTGGTGTCTTTCAGCCGTTTTCAGTGTTGTGTGTGCTAGGCTGATGGGTGGGGCATTTTTAATCCATTTGGTACAAAGAGTCCTTTTCTGCTGGGACCTCGAACTAGAGCTGATGTGTTAGTGTCTGCCACCACACACCCAGTAACACGCTTAACATGCTCTCCTGCTTCTGTCGGATGGGGCCCTGCGCTAAGCCCTCACGCCCGAGCTCCCGGATGGGCTCCCCTTCTGCATTCACTCCCGCCTCACGCATGCACTCATTCATTCATTCATCCTGCCCAACAGCCTTTGCTGAACCCGCGCCCTGGACTGGGGTGGGAATTACACAGGGGCAGAAGGAAGGCAGGGCAGATAGAAGAGCCGCCTACTGTTTGTTTTGCTTCTGGATAAATGGTTTGTCTTTCATCAGCCACATGAACTCGGGCATAACGGGGTGACTCATTTGGCCGGTAAAGCCTGAGCAGGGTGGCGTGGGGCTCTCCCGAACAGCGAGCGTTCAGGCTCAGCATGTGGCTCATCACATCTTTTGACTCCGCCTGTACAACTGGGGGGCTCTCAGAATGGAGCTGACGGTGCCTCTGAGCGTGGCGCTCCCAGTAACTAGCGCGAGCAGGGCCCCCCTTGCCCATTCATGATGGACAATTAGCACACGTGAGGGCTTTTGTACTTAAGGCCTATCCCGCTGACAGACCTTTTCTGGAGAAGCTCACGGACTAGTAGAAAGGCATTTTGGAAGCCTGGTCCAGACATGTACTGTACGTGACCAAGTAAGCGCTTCGGTTCAAAGAAGAGAAAACACGAGAACGTCTCCTCCAGCCTCCAGCCTGTTTCTGTTTCACTCTGGTTCCCGCACTTGAACAGCTCTGTCTGGTACCATTAACAGAACCTCCCACAGCTCTTAAGTGGGCTCCCTCTGCATGAGCTAGTCCACAGGCCCGGAGCAACATGACATCAAAACATTTTTAGTTTTGTGTATTGCTTAAAATTTCGGCTAATCAAGAACATTTGCAGCAGAGGAAGTATTCCCCCCCCCCACCCAATCTCATATTTGTTTTTTTATTAAACAATTTCAAAGGAAAGAGCTTCCCTAGTTGGTAATAATGTCAGTGTAACAGGAAAAATAGTTTATATTAATTGGATATTCTTGTTTTCACTTTTACAAGGTAAAATATGTTCAAGGAGCGTTTTTTAAACTGGCTCTTCTTTGTTCTTAGTTTCCCTCTGCCTAGGTTCAGTCTTAAATTTACCTAACAAATGATAAGCTGTTTCCCGCCTTCCTTTCCCCACCTCGTCATAATATAAAGCTACCCACAGTTCCTGTCCTCATAAAGCACCACCCTCTTGGACTCTAAACTAATTCCTGAAATTAATTTTCATAAGTGCTAAACTTTAACTAGGTCAGGAGGCTCAGGATAAAAGGTGAGACGGTGCCGCACCGGCAGCCACTGTGACGGCCTTTCTAACCGCACCGGGGGGCGACCATGACCTGCTGCGAGGGATGGACGTCCTGCAACGGATTCAGCCTGTTGGCCCTGCTTCTGCTGGGAATCGTGTTCAATGCGATACCTCTCGTGGTCAACAGAGTCGAGAATGGGCAGTCTTTCCAAAACCCCATCTCCTGCTTTGAGTGGTGGTTCCCAGGAATTATAGGAGCGGGTCTGATGGTGAGTGACATTTATCTGACTTGATGTGGAGAAAGGCCTGCTTGTTTTACGAAACTCCTAAAGACCGTCTTTCAGCCTTACGGTGAGATGAGCCGTGTCTTGACTTAAGAGACCGTAAGGAGCGCTGGTGTGGTATTAATTTATATTGGTCATCAGTGAGGAACGATAATTTAAATAGATTAAATATGTGGTCCAGGCTAGGGAGCTTGGGCAAAAAAATGACGAGATTGATACAAGCTGTTGAGTTATTACGTTATCTTTGCATGGAGGGCTGCTCTTCCAAGCTTTATAGTTAGTCAGGGTCCTTTTGAATTAATTCCTTCAACTTTCCTTCGCTGATACCAAGCTCAAGGTATTCACAGGGGGTGCAGCAGAAGTGGGAAGAGACATTCCACACACAATGAGTGTCCTGGATGATGACAACTGTGGCGTGGACATGGTGCTGCTTGCACCAAAGGGAGCTGGTCTAAGAGATTTGGGACCTGAATCCCTGGCTCTCTGGTCTCAGTGGCTTCTTGACTCAGGTCTTGTACAGATAGCCCAGGACATCATGGTGCTTGTTGAATGTTAACCGTGGTAATTATTGATAGGTCTCTGTCTGATGGCGTCGTCATTAGAGCAGCGAGATACAGAACTCCCCATTGCAGACCTCCCGGGAATGCTGATGCAGCGGGCTGGGCAGGGACCACTTGTGGAGAGGAGCACATGCTGCGTTTGGACCTGGCAGAGAATCGCAGCTCTAGTGCTGCCTCCAATATATTGCTGTTTGCAAGTCCTTTATCTATATTCATAATGTGGGATGTGGTTACTGAAGTCTGGAAATTCAGCATTCAAGAAGCTTGCTTTTGTTGGTTCTACCACCTGGGCACCATCTAATGGGGTCTGGGTAACGCTGGAGAAATGACCCTTGTTTCAGTGTGTGTGTGTGCGTGTGACAGTCCGGTGACCGATACTATCAGAGTGTTTTAGAGATGCTGGAACATGAAGGCGATTTTTTAAGAGATCTACCTGCATCCCTAATCGTTAACGGTCATCAGTTACTGCTGCTGGTCTTATCCCCAGAGTAACGTGAGAACACTCTGGGGTGGTTATACATTAAACTTTAGGTACATATTTGTTCTTCGGCTGGCACACTGGACTTGAGACCATGCTGGCATCAAAAAGCCACTCCAGCCCCGGCCGGGCGTGGCTCAGCGGTTGAGCGTTAACCTGGGATCCAGGCGATCGGGGTTCGATTCCCGGTCAGGGCACATGCCCGGGTTGCGGGCTAGGCAGCCGATCAATGACTCTCTCATCACTGATGTTTCTATCTCTCTCTCTCCCTCTCCTTTCCTCTCTCTGAAATCAATAAAGATATATTAAAAAAAAAAAAAAAAGCCACTCCAGGAAGCATTCCCCCAAAGCTGATGGTTTCTTTCCCTTTAACACTGAGAGCAATGTATTCTCCCTGCTTTAGGTAGAAAGAGCTACTTATAGCAAAAGCTTTTGGGAACTTGTGGGCTGTTTCTTCAAATTGCCATGAACATGCTCTTCCAGGCCGAGAGGAAGCACAGTGCCCAACAGGGCGATGCAATTGCAAGACTGTGTGTTTCTGTCCTTCCACGGGCTTCTCTCGACCTGAATACTGTGAGGTTCCTTTGCAGCAGCTTAGCCAGAAGCCAGGAGCAGCTGCCAAGGCTCATCAACAGGGCAATTTCCATGCAGCGCCTGAAAGTTCCTATGCTAAAACAACCCATTTAGAGTAACTCGTGTAGCTGTAGATGTAAACGGACTCTCCCACAAACCCCATCATAATAACATAAAATCGTCACTGGCGTTAAAGGAGCCTGAGGTGATGACGGCACAATCCACTCCATGTTTTCTTCTTTGGGGAGCAGGGGACAGGGAAGGAGGAAGACACAGAGAGAGGCCACGCGAAGGGCCAGCTACTGGGTTCATGCCTTACTCCGCTATCGCATTTAATCCCTGGAATAATCTGGCCGAGCAGATATTATCAACTGTATTTTAACAGACAAGCAAACAGACAGTTAGGCACGTTAACGCGATGACACAGTAGCTGTGAGACCCGATTCCAGCTTCATCTGACCCCCAAGTCTTGTTTCCCACCAGTATTAGCACCATAACCCACCAGCCCCGCTTCAGGCTGACCGAGGGGGAAGGTGACTCATAACTTAAAACCCATAACCCTAAGTGACCAGGAAACTGAAGCACAGAAACCTGTGAAACAGTTTCGGGGATCTGCCCTTCCTTGTTCCGTGACAAACTTACTTTATTGCCCGCCATGAATATTAACGAAGGGCATTATACCAGGCTCTCTTTATTACCCAGGGCGGTAGAACGTCACCAACGCATCAAACTACGCGTTGAAAAGTTCATTAGGTGCTTTACAGATCAAACCTCACACTCTAGGCCAGGCTCACAAGCAAACAGTGGGTGAGAGGAGGGCTCAGAAAACAGGTGTGTTTCCACGGTCCTCGCATACACGTGCACATGGCTTTAACGGTCTACAGCTCTTCCGTTCTTCATGACGTATCCAGCTATGTCTCTCTCTAAGGGTGATGTGAAGAACACCTTTCCAACATCTGTCAAAATACTGAACTCTCAATATACTTGTAAATACCCAGAAGAGCTAATGAAGAAGAAATCGCTGTCCGATAAGCACTTTCGTCATAGTTCTTGAGCTCTTTCCAAAATTGCTTTAAATTGGTATCGCTTCAAAAACAGATTTTGCAGGAAGCAGTGAACAACAACTATGGAATTAATTATTGATTATGTCATAAAATGCATTCATTGCATGTTTTTATGACTCACCCAAAACAGAGGAAACTTTCAACCTTTTGAAATCATGACTAAGAGTGTTACGTAATTATCTTCAATTATTTTATGCTAAATGAAAAGAAATCAGTAGATATTATTTTTCCAAGCACTAAGAAAAAACTTAAACTGTTTCTTCTAAAAGAAAAATAGTATTAAGGCCATTTGATACAAGATTAATTGTAAGCCTGAGCTTAATCATGCCTGTTCATTGAGTTCACTTATTACACAGTGGTAATTTATCAATTATTAAAGTCCTAGAAAAAACTTGTTGAATGTTAAACAAATTAGGCATTTGCAATAATAAGCATTTGCGAATATAGTTTTTATATTTGTGATAAGCTATGGCTTTGGGTTGCTCTCCTGTTCAGGTACTTAGAGGATCCCTAAAGTTTGATTTCTGTCCCAGAGTTTCAATGGTCTACAGCTCTTCTCGTCTGCATTTGTAAATCATGTTCTTTACTTCTAAAACTGCATGAAAGGCTGGGTTTCTGCGAGGAAGAATGAACAGTACTGCTTCCTGATAAAAACAAATGACTATCAAGGCCTTTAGTTTCACACAAACTCTTATGCATTCAAATGTGCTTGGGAATGAAAGGGAGAGAGAATTCTCGTAATTGTTCATTGTGACAGATTATCTGGAACATTTATGATTCAGTCACACCTACACCTACACACTTTCTCACAATTTAATGTCCATTCTTTAAAAAGCCCCTCAATTTCTAGAGCTCAGAACAGGCAAAAGAGTTGGAAAATCAGTGAACTACGAGGTAACAAAGATGTGTTGACATGCCATGAAGTCAGCTGGGAGGGGATTCACATAAGTTATTGTTACTTTATAAAACCTCACTGCAATGGATTTTAAATAAAAGTAAATATTCAACATCTCTTTAATAAATCAATCCTAAAGAAAGCCAGCAGAGTTCAACTTACATCAATAAGGAAAATGAGATGACTCATCCATTTAAGCTGTAACTTAATGTTGTTCTTTCTTCTAACATCATTAACATTCTAGATCAGTGATTGACAACTTATTTCTGTAAACAACCAGATCATGACTATTTTAGGCTTTGAGACTCACAGCTAGTGAACTGGACTGTTGGTATGAGAGTCATAGACTGTAACAGTGAATGGGCATGGTTGTGTTCTAATAAAACTTTATGTCTGACAAAGAAGTGGTGGGCCACAGTTTGCCGGTTCCTGTAAACGATTCGTTCCTTAAGCTCAAAGGCAGTACAGCTTACGGGTATGACAAAAGAGGTTTGGGGCCTAAATTTTTCCCCGTCTTCTGGGCTCTTAGCTCCGCCCCAGGATGGCCCGGCTGCCACACATACATGTGATCTTGGGATTGTAAAGGTGTCGGAATTCAAGACAATATGAAGCCAAGTCTGATCGCAACGCAAAGTGTTCTCCACAAGTGCCATGGAGTCAGCGCTTGGTCAGAGTGGGGGAAGTTTGTTAGGAAAGCCTCCTCCTAAGGCGCTGAATGTTAGACGGGCTCTGAGAACACAAAGGGGGTGTGGTTTTGGGAAAAGGAATCGGGAAGGGACCGAGGACAATGAGATGAGCAAGGGGTGGGCGCAGGATGAAAGGGGACAAGCTCCGCGAAGGGACAGAGAGCTGTAAGAATCGGCCAGTGCGGATCGTGGTCTGGAGTCTGGGCTTTGGAAACCAAAGGCCCAGCTCGAATCCAAAGTCTTCCACTCCCTTGGAGAAGTCGCTCCAGCTCTCTAGCCTCAGTTTCCCCCACGTGAGATGAGGGTAATGAGGGCGCCTGAATGAACTAACACGGGCACAGCGCCTAAGACAGGGCCTGGCGCGTCGCTGGAACTCAGCAGCATGCTGGAAAGCGGGCTGGAGAGAAGGGGGGCCGCTCGGGGCGGCTGTGCCGAGCGCCAAAACCCCAACAACCCGTGGCTAAAATGTCCTGAGGGGAAGGAAGGAAGCTACAGCCCACTCTTCAGTGACACAGGGCTTCTTCCAGGGAGGATTCCTGGATGGATGTGACTAAATATTTATACCTAACCCCGAGGGCACGATGCTGCTTCTCACAGCTGTCCCCAGCAGGACGCGCTCCCCTCGACACAGAGCCACACGCACCAGGTTTCTGAACATCCACGCAAAGGAAGGTCGTTACAGATCACGGAGAAAGGAGCGGAAAGGGGAACACGGCACCAGAAATATTTCCCAAATCCCAAGCTGGGGAACCAGCCAGGTGGCGGTGACCCTGGGAGGAAGAGGAAGGTTAGGGCTGAGGGGAAGGGGTGGGGACAGAATTCGTAGTTCCCCACCGCCAGGCGAACAAAACCAGCGATTTCCTTTCAGGATGCTTGCCAGATTCAGACAGTTCTGGGGGAATTGGATGGTGGCTGCAGATTATAGGAACTAAAAAAAAAAAAAAGTGAATTTTGGATGATGCAAGCAATTCTTTCAGAAATACTCCTTCCAAAATTATGAATCAAATAACTCGCTTGATTTAAAATCCAAGTCTCTCTAAAGGAGTACAGTAATGTAGGTGGAAGAGCCTGAAACCGCTCTCCTGAAATCCCGCCATCCCTCCCCACTCTTTAATCGCTGTGGTTGAAACGGGGACCCCAAGACCAAGGACGGTGCCCGATTTCTGTCCCACAACTGCTGGTGGAGAGAAGGCAGAGCTGCTTTCTCAGCTGCTGAGGAGTAGTAAGACTCATCTTTCCCGTTGATGTAATTTCCAGGCCGTTCCAGCAACAGTGATGTCCCTGGGAGCCAGGAAAAGAGCCTGCTGCAACAACAAAACCGGGGTGAGTGTGCGGGGCGCAGGGCCGGGAGCAGGGGGGAGGGCCCGTGCGGGCTTCGGGCGCTGCAGGTCACTGCGCGCGGCCAGCGGCAGGACCGCGGCCGTAGGAACGTCCTATGAGGATGGTTATATGGTAGCACGGAAAGTGAGGGGGTTTGGTTTGTTTTTTCATAATAATATAACCTTGGAGCCAGCCTCAGACCTCTCCTCAATTCTCAGTTTCACCAATCTAAAGGTTTTCAAAGAAAGATTTATAAATCCCACTCAGGGCTGTAACCAGTTTCAGAATTATTTTCATGCTGTGTATCAAATACTTGAGGGAAACTTTCCCTCAGTTCTCCATGCATATGAAAGGTTGGTTTCCCAGCCTTGGAACGATACTTGCTCTTATTTGGTTAAGTTAAAGAAGACACTAGTTATTTTTTCAAACACTTAGTACATACCTACTATGAATAAAATTTTAAATAAGCTAAAAGTAAAACAAATGAATACTTGTCCGCCTTCTGTCACTACGCATGCTCAGAACACACTCGAATAGGCTATCCTATTTCATTCTCTCAGAAGCCTCACGTGGGAAATAGGACCTGTTTTATTGACCGAGAAACGGATGCTCAGAGAAAGCAAATAACTTGCCAGGGCAGCACAGCCAGTGAGCGAACTTCTATCTCAATCCACCAGACACCAAAGTCACAATCTCTACACCACCGGTGCCATGAACATTGTTAATAACACCGTGCAAAGGCTCGCAATTCTCCAAGGAGGGGAGGACCAAGGAATAAGGCATCGGAGATTCCTGGCTGAGCCTGAGGCTTGCTGGGGACGTTAGGACCACCCAGGAAAATCTTAAAAAACGCCAATGCCCTGTGCCCCTCACCCCGCTCGGAGTGTCGGCGGCAGTGTTTTCCAAAAACACCCCGGGGATCCCAGTGTGGTCCCGGGGGGAGAGCTGCTGTTTAAAGAGGTACATTTAGACCCATGTACACTTCTGTATTTCCCATTGTTTGCTGTTTTTCCAGGATTATAATTACTTTGTTCATTCTTTAGAGTCTGTCTCCATTGCTGATACGTTGCAGGGCCCTGCGCTTCTCTTGTTAAACTGTCACCCTTTGGAGTTTGACTTTGCATTACCTGTGTCATGCCCACAGCATTCCCGGGACAGCGCCAAGTCCCCGGCCTTAGAAACACCTGAACACTTACACAGACTTTTCTCTCAAATCCTACTTCCATTAAGAATCTCTCCCGGCCCCCGCTCATATCCTTTCATGACAAATTTGTCATCTTTTCAGCGATCACCCTCCTCTCTCCTTTGGGGACATGGTGAGTTGGGGTGAGCAAACCACTCTTCCACGCGGGTGCCGGCTGGACGCGCCGGCCGAGGGTAGGGGGCGGCTCGCGCTCTAGCAGTAACAGCGAGGCTGGCTGTTGAATCACCAGGTTATGCTGATTCGGCGAAACCGCCAGGTTTTTTAGCCACTTTTCTCACCAGCCGTGTGAGGACCAGTGTTTATATACCTCGAATCTTTCAAGTACAGACAAGACCGAAAAGTGGCAAAGGCGAGGCCTTGGGGTGGGGGAGAGGAGGTCACCAAGACCTGGCCCCTATTTTAACTGTTCCCTGCGCCTTCCCTTCGTCCATTTGTTGATTTTGTTTCTGATTCCTTTGGCTTTGCTGAGTCATTTAAACGAACCCCGACTCTAAGGGAAACACAGATCTTGGACTCACTTCCTAAACCAGGCTTCTCCGTAGTAATGAGAAGTCAGAAATAATAGGTGATCAGAATATAAACACAGGGCCGCTTCCTGATGAGCAAACTTAAGTAACCGCATAGACCGCAGGAGGGTGGGAGAAGCGGGATTCGAACTACACTCCCAACCCGTCGCTGTGCTTTCGGCTGGGAGAGGGTCGGTTAGTGATTCCACCCTGAGCACCGGCGTTGACGGGCTGTGAGGTCCAGACACCGTCAGTCTCCCCAACTGCGGTTTTCTCGTCCACAAGATGGGAGTAACTGCGCCCACCTTTCGGGGTTACTGAAAGGATAGTGAAGCCCGAGGTCCCTCGACACGCCATGTAAGCAGCCACCTGTCCCGCCTGCCCAGTAAAGGCAGGGCTGAAGGATACTACACGTGGACCCCGGGGCGCCGTAGCCCCTCCGACCCGCCGAAGGAGTGCTCCTCCCCTCACTCCCGCGGGCTTGCCGTCATCATAAGGAACCCTCACGGATGAAGCACCCCACCGAAACGCCACGCGGCTCTTCTGGAAACACCCACATGCACCCACTCTCCTCCGGGCGACACTGCCTCTCGCCCAGCCTCGTGCTTGTTTTCCGGTGACTCGGACTCACGACACGAAAGATGCTTAGATGCGTAGTCTCCCCCCGACAGTGGTGGCGCTGCACCAAAATCAGGGCCGGTTTTGCACCCCCTCCCCGTCCCCAAGGGGCCATTGGGCAAAGCCCGGCAACAGCTCCGGTTGCCACAGCTGTACGGGGGTGTTGCTGGCAGCCGGTGGGTGGAGGCGGCCTGCAATGCACAGGAGAGGCCCCCACAGCGAAGTGCCCAAGGCCAGCGGCGCAGAGACGAGCGGCCCTGTCCCACCACGACGCCGTACCCACCACTGCGAAGTGCTGACCCCTGGCCACTGACAAGGTCAGGGCCAAATCCAGACTAAAGGTTTGGGAGTGAAGAGAGCGGGCACCCAAGTGTGGGCGCCTAAGGCCCAGTCAAGGTTCCATGAAGCAGGAAGTACAGAGACAGGCGGAAAAGGAGGGACCGGGTCTCAGCGTTCAGTTGAAACGGACAAAGGTCAGGATTTGCAGAAAACGTGGCCAGATCAACGCTCCTGAGTCTAATCGAATGGCAGAGACTTGGCCCCTGCCTTCTTTTATGACTCACACCTAATCAAACTGGGACCGGAAGGCCTCGGGCTACACGGTGACCAGACCAGGGCCACAGATTAAAGGCTGCGTCTGACGTGGAAACTTGAAAGCAGCCAAGGCCACGTCATGACGTGCACATGCCCGACTTTCTGTTTCAGATGTTTTTTTCATCGCTCCTGAACGTCATCACCGTCATCGGCGCTGCGTACTGCGTGCTGGTTTCTCTGCAGGCTTTCATGCAAGGTCCTCTCATCTGTAATGATCCAGGCAACGGCACTGCCAGTTGTGAATTTTCAAAAGACAGTTTCAGGTGAGCGACCTGGCTTTCACCGATTGTTTTGCAGGGCAACTGGTTAGATTAGACTGCATAGCAGCTGGGGGGAGGGGGGGGAGAGGGTTTGACGGAGCACCATGTTTTTCTTTGATGAAACTACGGAAACAATTCTTAGGGATTTAGCACATCAATTCCCACTGGCAAAAGCTCATAGAAACTGCAGGAATCACTACATTCGGGATGCTTTGGGTGTGGCCTTGTCTAAAGAAGTAATTGACTCAGATGGCTTATCTTTGTCTTAAAAAGTTCTGGAAATAAATACACACCAGAAACTTAACTTTCACCCTTGGAGGATGGTGACGGAGGAAGCCCTGGGGAAGCATTGACTTTCTACACTTTTTTTTTTTTTTTTAAATATGTCTTTATTGATTTCAGAGAGAGGAAGGGAGAGGGAGAGAGAGAGAGATGGAAACATCAATGATGAGTCATTGATCGGCTGCCTCCTGCACGCCCCCTACTGGGGATGGAGCCCGAAACCCGGGCATGTGCCCCGACCGGGAATCGAACCTCGATCTCCTGGATCCTAGGTCAATGCTCAACCGCTGAGCCACGTCTAGCTAGTAGTTGACTTTCTACACTTCTGAATTAATTAAATCTGTAAGCCCTAAGCGCAGATTACCTTTACACTTTAAAAAATGAAGTAGAAACAAAATAAATACAATCTAGAGCCTTATTTATAAGCCCTAAAAGAAACCAAGCAGCCTGGATTCATGCAGACACACTAGAAACAGGTGGTAGGGATAGGAATGAATGACAAGTTTAAGTCGTTCAGTAACAAATAACACAGAAGAGTTACAAGTAGATGGCTCCTGTCAGTCTTGTAAGATGGTTCTGTGCCTGGACCTAAGCACATTTGGGAGAAACTGGAAGAAAAGGGCAACCGAACTCATTAGCTCTGTCTACACCGCTCAGGTGGGAAATGGCCAGGCTTCCCTCTGTAGTCACATAAAAACACGGAAAACGTTCCCTTCCTGTCCCTGTATCTTGCTCCATTAGAAGAGAAAAACCCCTGAAAATTTTCCTACCACGGTTGTGATGGATCAAAATCCAAAGGCATTACCTCATTTTGTCCTTCAGAGGCTACACACATTCAGTCCTCAGCAGGTGACAACTCAGGCACCAGGCTAAGCTCCCGAGGAGACAGAGCCCACGGTGTCCCCACTCCAACTGGGGTGACAGTTATAGAGAGTAAAGTTACCCAAGAGTGATCCCGGGCTTGCTGCAAACTGCGAGAAGCGCTCTCAGACTCCGTGCGCGAAAGCACTTGTTTTCCCAGGTTGAAGGGACCCAAACGCACACTAAGAACACTTAGGCCTCGGGGCAGAAACTTCCTCCTGTTCCATACCTTGCAGCGATGGGCACAAATCACTTTAATCAGACGTATTATTTTTCTTTTCTGTTGAATTTATTGGGGTGACATTGGCTGATAAAATCACATAGGTTTCGGGTGTAATCAGACATAGTATCTGATGTCTTTCCTGAGTAAAAGCTGGACATCTGGATGAAGAGCAGGTGCCACTGTGGTTCTGCACTAAGAGTCGGCTCCTTCAC